TCTGATATTCTTAATAGAACCAACACCCCCTCCTTTGCCATTAATTATCCAGTATCAATTATCTCCTTAAGAGTCCCTCACAAAGTTCTGTAGATGCAGACCTCAGTAGGCAGTTGTACCTCTTGTAGATATTGCCTGTGAAAGCCGTTATCATTTTAGAGGATATGTAATTTTTTGAGGTAGTGACATAGTGTATTCATTAGAACACTAGACTTCTGGGAAATATTATAACAATTACAGAGCATTATTTGTCTCATTAGAGATAACTTATTAATGAACCAGTACTGTACTTTGATAGGATTGGAATCTGTGCCGCCTTTCCCAAATGATTCAAAACATGAATTTTTAAAGCAGATTTTTTACTTGGCTTTTACAGGCATCTCTTACATTCGTTTAAAAGGAAAAGTGGATAATTCCTGTTAATGTATAAAAACAGCATGTAGCCTTTAAAATTATATGGCATTAGAATAGAATTAAAATATGATATTCTAATCTAACCTTAAATTCTTTTAATAGTAATATAAAAAATTACACCATAAATAACAGCTTGGATCCAAAGATCCTGCTGAGCATGGATCATATAGATTTTGTGTTTGTGTGTTTGTGTTGCTAATCTCCTCCCCCCCACCTCTGCTCTTGAAATTCTTCGAATCTGCAGGATATTGTTGTGTGGGTGGGGTGCAGACAGGAAAATTTGGTGACTCTTCCCATTGTGAATGGATGTACCATTTGAGTAGTAAGATTCTTCTTGTTTTCGGAAGTAGTGGGATATTGTGCTGAAATATGTATAATAATAATAATAATAATAATAATAATAATAACAACAAACAGAATAAAACTTCAAACATTAAAAACGTCCCTAAACAGGGCTGCCTTCAGATGTCTTCTAAAAGTTGGATACAGTGGTGCCCCGCAAGACGAAATTAATTCGTTCCGCAATTTTTGTCGTCTAGCGAATTTTTCGTCTTGCGAAGCACGAAATTCCATAGGAATGCATTGAAAATCAATTAATGTGTTCCTATGGTCAAAAAAAGTCCAAACAAAGCCAAATTTGGTACAACAACAGTTTATTAACTGCTCTTTAAAGTCACACATACTGTAAAGAGCAGTTCAAAAATTGAAGGGAAAATAAATTAACTTTATAAACAAAACATGTCTTTGTTTTTAGACAAAGAAAACAAAGTCGCGAGACGTTTTCGTCTTGCGAAGCAAGCCCATAGGGGAAATTCGTCTTGCGAGGCAAATCGAGAATGGAAAAACCTTTCGTCTAGCGAGTTTTTTGTCTTGCGAGGCATTCGTCTTGCGAGGTACCACTGTAGTTGTTTATTTCCTTGACATCTGATGGGAGGGCGTTCCACAGGACAGGTGCCACTACCGAGAAAGGCCCTCTGCCTGGTTCCTTGTAATTCACTTCTCGCAGTGAGGGAACTGCCAGAAGGCCCTTGGTGCTGGACCTCAGTGTCTCAGCTGAATGATGGGGGTGGAGACACTCCTTCAGATATACCGGGCCGAGGCCGTTTAATAAAAACAGTGGAAGCTGGAACATTTGTGCTTTCATTTTGTACTAGTGCAGATAGCACTCTGTTTGAAGCAATTTAGTTTAAACAAATTAAAGACTAGATATATGTTGCTTGTAATCAAATCCCGGTGTTAAAAAAAAAATGCCCAGTATTGCAAATACTTATGTCTGTATTTTCTAAGCTAGTGTTGAGTAATCTGTGGGCCTCTTATTATTATACTCTACTTTTCACATAACCTGGGTCTCAAAGTTGCCTAATTGTCTAGTTGCTATTCCTGACTCTTGGTCATGCTTTGCATTACAGTCATACCTCGAGTTGAATGTGCTTCGGGTTGAGCGCGTTCGAGTTGTGCTCCGCGGCAACCCGGAAGTAACAGAGCATGTTACTTCCGGGTTTCGCCACTTGCGCATGCGCAGACGCTCAAAGTGACGTCACGCACATGCGCGGAAGCGGCGGCACGTGTCTTAATGCAGACATACAGAGGTGAGCAAAGACAGTAGTGCTGCTGTCCAGGCTAGCCAACCTAGCGCTCTTTAGATGTTGTTGGATTCCATGTCACATCAGTCTCAGCCAGCAAGGCCAATAGTCGGGAATAGTTGGAGTTGTACTTCAACAACATCTAGAGGACACTAGGTTGGCTTCTTCAGATCTAGAAACACAACTATGTCACAGTTTAAGTTTTGGGAAGCTGGGACACAAATCTTGGTGAACTTGGCCAGCATCTTACTAATATAGTCAAAGAGATGGACTTTGGGGAAATACGGAAAACAGTTAAAGAGATGTAGCTGTAGCCACAGACATGTACAATGGTCCCAAGGAATGGGGAGAAGGAAGCAGGAGCCAAGGGAAAGAGAGAGGATAGAAAGCAGTTGGCTTAGAGAAATGCCAGGTTACTAGTACAGTGGTACCTTGGGTTACATACGCTTCAAGTTACAGACTCCGCTAACCCATAAATATTACCTTGGGTTAAGAACTTTGCTTCAGGATGTGCAGCAGGGACGCAGCGGCAGCAGGAGGCCCCATTAGCTGAAGTGGTGCTTCAGGTTAAGAACAGTTTCAGGTTAAGAACAGACCTCCAGAACGAATTAAGTTCTTAACCTGAGGTACCACTGTACAGTATATTTTAAAGATGCTTATTTATGATTGGTTCTTAGTTAAGAATGGGACTTTCCTATAACATGGAGTTTGATTCCATATTTGTGTCATCATTGCTGGAAAGCTCTGGTACATATGCCTACTTCAGCACCACAACGGGAATTTAGACACAGGTGTTCAGGTACAGGCAGATTCAAATCCAGGAGGTCCTTTAGGTAACCTGCTTTAGGGTAAGGGCTATAATGGTAATCACAAGCACTTTAAATTGGCACAGTTTAGTGGCATATTACAGTGATAAGCGTTTTGCGTATAGAGCAGGTTAATAGTGCTCTACTAATTAGCAATCTCCTTATACAATCATCGCTGTTAGTCGTGAGCCCATCCTGTATATGCCGGATGGACTTCGCTATTGCGGGCTTGGGAGGAAGAAAGCTTCCTATACACATTTGGAGGTCACTCTTCCATAGCTAGCAGTAGGAGACTTGAATGTACATAGCACTCCGGTTTTTAAAGAGGGGCTTTAAAGTAAACCTTTAATTAAAATCTAGACTCAAGCTTTAGTTCTGTCATGCCAGCATTCTTTTTATATAAGCTCACTGGAAAAAAATGACTAAAACGAATACTTATTCTTTATATGTGGAAAATGGTTACCAAGAGAACAGGTGAGAATGGATGATGATTGTCATTCAGCTAATTCTATGCATGTAAAATGCAAATTAATGTCTTGCATTCACTACATGAATAACTGTAGTAGGATTACATTCCTAGTGTTTAAAGGTCTCTTTGGGTGATGTAGACTTTAATTTTCTCCAACCATTAACCATAGTTAAGGGATTATTATTACTTATATTCTACTTTCCCATACAAAATAGTTCAAAGCAGTTCAGAAGGACAGAGGTTGTAAAGATTGGGTTCAGCACTGTGTGAACTTGCACAATAGAACACTGACCTCTCCCTCTTGCTGTAGCCATGGTTAACGGCTACATCAGTGCTGACATTAACTGTAATTGACTAACAAGTGTATGGGTAACCATGTTAGTGTCCTATAGATGGGAGGTAGGTTGGGAGAAGTATGCTTCAAGTATCTAGCATGGATAACTGACTAGCTCTGGTAAAAAGCACTCCTAATTAGCACTGCCACTGGAACCTCTGCAAACAGTGCCAGTCAAAAGTAACCCTATACAGTGGTACCTCGGGTTACAGACACCTCAGGTTACAAATTCAGCTAACCCGGAAGTAGTACCTTGGGTTGAGAACTTTGCCCCAGGATGAGAACAGAAATTGAGTGGCAGTGGCGCGATGGCAGCAGGAGGCCCCATTAGCGAAAGCATTCCTCAGGTTAAGAACGGACCTCCAGAACGAATTAAGTTTGTAACCCGAGGTACCACTGTGGTTCCCAATTAGCTAAGTACTGCAGACCCCCTATTTTTAAAAAGCCAAGCCATGGACCCCCTACTTTTGAAAATTTTGATAGTTTTCTTCAGGTGAATGGTGCCACAGACCTCCTGGGGTCCGCGGATTACCAATCTGGAACTACTGCCATACTGCAAACTTGATCAAACTTGATCAAAGAGAGTGGACTCTGTCCAAAGCAGGCTAAACCTCAATTTCTTTTATTACCAGTACAGTCATACCTTAGTACTTGAACGGAATCCATTCTGGAAATCTGTTCAACTTCTGAAAATGTTTGAAAACCAAGGCACAGCTTCTGATTGGCTGCAGGAGCTTACTGCACTCAGTTGGCAGCTGTGTAAGGTACGTCAGATGTTCAGGTTCCAAATAATGTTCGCAAACTGGAACACTCCTGGGTTTGCGGCGTTTGGGTGTCAAAATGTTCAAGTTGCAAGTCGTTCGAGAACCAAGGTACAACTGTAGTTATACAGATAGTAATGAAAGCATCAAACAGCACTTCAGATAGATTTGTTTGGGATCCTGGTAGCATGCTGCTAATCACTGAAACCATATATTTTTTAAAGTGACTATAACCAATTTTAAATTCTTATAGCAAAATATTTGGTCTTCCATCTTCATCAGTTGCTCTGATAAAGCAAATAGTGAATAAGATATAAACATCTCACTATCACTATCTCACATCTTTTAGAGCATAACAACTATGTGGTTACATTCTAGAAACATATCAGTGGTTAAAAACATAAGAATCCAGAAGCATAAGTAAGCACTAAGTCTCAAGAACCAGCAGTCTAAAAACATACTTAAAGAAAGGCAGATTGGAGCAAATAAGCCTCTAACCATGGTTAAGGTGTGTGGGGGGGTGGAGGTGGGATCGTGCAGTCTGCTGACCCACTCCTTTAAACATGATTAATGGAGGTAAACCATCCAAAGCCTAATTTCAGAAATAATTATTTTTCTGTTTTTTGTTTCCAGAGACGTGGGGCAATATCCTATGACAGTTCTGATCAAACTGCATTGTACATTCGCATGCTAGGTAAGTGTGGTTGTTTGTTTCAACACCCAGATGTATGTATATACGTGTGGCTGTCTGCTGTTAATTAGATGGTGTACACTACTGCATTTTAAAACCTTTCTGGTTTTTATTCCTCCCTTTTCAGCTTTTCACAATGTGTGTTGCTGTTGCTTGCTGTTTGGCTCTAAGTATTTCAATATTGTTTAGCACAAATTTCACACATTTGGGCATTGAGCAAATGCATAAGGTAAAGGTTATCACAAAATAGGAGATCACAGGCTCCCCAGCAATGCAGATTTAACAGAGAAGCGATGAAGGCATTGGGGTGGGTGCAAATATTAGAGAAAATTTTATATTTCAACATTTCATATTGCACATTTTATGTATTAAGGCTGATATATTTGAGTAGTAACAACCTTTGCTTGCTTTAAAGGTTAGTTCTTGTAGCCGTGTTTCTTATTTCAAATGCATAAAGAGACTAGCAGAAACTTGGCACATATGAGATTAAGAATTTGTTTTCTTAAAGTTGAACTTGAATGACTCATCCAAGCAAATATTTGTATAGGAAAGTTTCAGCTTAAACTGTAAACTGAATATTGTTATGTGATAGCAATCTTGAAATAGCACAATGGTGACTGATGGGAAATGGATGAGTGGGAGGAGTTTCACTTAAAAACATTTAAATTGCTTGCTATAAATATTAAGTAAACGTTGGAGAAAATTCCAGCATAATATGTAATCAGTGTTCTGTGCCTCTTAAAAAAACAAAACAAAAAAGCAACAATTTTTGCTTAGGTCGTTGGCTTATTTATGTTTGGCAGGGACTTGTTAATAGGATTTTAGCTTTGAGATCATTGGATCATGAAGTTGCTATTGCTGAACTGTTAAATTTCCTAACAGTAGTAGAAATTGATGGCCGTCAGTAAGTTACACATTTGTTACCTGTATATTATTGTAGCCTTTCTGAGCATCTCTCATTTTAATCATTCTCACAAGTAGAATAATATGTCCATTTGTGTCCATGCATTTATTTTTTTCACTCTTTGCGCTTTACAGTCCAGCCTTGGAAAATTAGCTGCTCTTTCCAGGACTCCATATGGGATACCTTCATCAGACATAGCTAGTTTTCAGCTGCACTGCAGCCATTGGTGTTTCTGCTCATTCTCCTTTTAAAAGGAATGTAATTGTTGGTGCCTATGCTTCCATGGATCTCCTGGTGTTTACATTTGTGGAGTCAGCTTTTCCTTACCATTCAATGTAAACCAGTTAGCTTCTACTTGGATTATTATATACTCTTTCACAGAGTTATTTTGAGCTATTTGGATAAAATTCAGGAGCCTTATGTACTATTAATTAAATATGTACATGTAATATCAATGAGTATCAGATCTTTAGCACTAATAGTCATTTACTATCTTGTAATTTTGAAGTTAAAGTTTATGGAGATAAATCACATTATAAAGGGGGGATTAAACCATTCTATAGTCATTATATATTATATGATACAAGGGAAAATTATGGATTTTCTTAGACAGAGACTAACATCAAATCCAGTTATTTTATTAACAGAATTATATATCATTAAAAGATATTTTATTGGGGCTACACTATGAATTACACAAAAGTTTGAAGGGGCAGCAACATTGGTTTAGCTTGCTGATAACCCCCTTGTGTATTGCGATGTATGCAAAGGGATCTTTAGCCCACCAACTTCCTTCTGTGTGAGCTGAAGGGTGGTCCTTAAGTCAGAGTAGATCCACTGAAAGCAAATCTTTTCTGAGTATGATTTGGTTGGATGTCCCTGTTAAGAGTTTTCTCCCAGAACTTCTGTTTTGTGTCTGAGTTTAGATATAGTAAAATAGAGGTTTAAACTCATATGCAGAAGAGCTCTACCAAAGCCTCTGTTGCTGCTCACAGTGGCAAAGAGGCTGTTTAAATAGCCCCATAGGAGTAAGTTTTTAGTGCTTAATAAAAGGGGGCCTTGGGATTTGGGGCTGGGCTGGGCTCATATAGCTTCAAGGGAATGAGCTTGCAGGTCACCAGTTGCCTACTCCTATTATAATTGACTTAGGTGTTCTATTTTGTGATGGTACTGATGTTTGAAAGTCATTTAAAAAACTTTTCCTTTCCATCCAGACTACATAGCCCATGAGGGGATTGTTAATTGTGTGGCAAAAGCAACTTTCCTTGTTCTACTTATCTTTAGTGACTGTGGAGGTATATTTGCACAGCAGCCTATTTAATTTATATGTGTCAGGAGATAACATAGAAAGTTTTAAACTGTATTGTGGAATTGTTTGTCCCCTGCCCTGGAGCTTATGATAAAGGGTGGGTAATAAATTGCAACTAAATAAATAGAGATAGTTTATATACTCCAGTTTAACTAAGGAGTTGTTCAGTCAGAATTCTTTCTCAAAGTTATACTAACAGTGAAATCAGAAATGGGTCATAGGGCTTGCCTGACTCTTCCACTTCTGTGTTAACTGGGAGAGCCTGTATCAGTTGGACTATGCAGTCTCTAGTTCAGAGAAACAGAGAAGTTAATCTGAAACCAGTGTATAATAGAGAATCTATTGGTCCAAAATGCCGATGAAATTTTGATAAATAACTTGGGGGCAACTGTAGATTTTAAAAAACGCAGACTAAACTAACACATGCAAATGCTATTCTATGAAATACCTAGATAACTCTCGTAAAAACATTGGCGTTCAAAGCAGGTAGAATGAGGAAAGAACATAATGCAAATCATAACTGCTATAAATGCATAACTGCATAACTGTCTATAATCTTGGAGAATTCTTGGACAACAGGTGAGGTCCCTGCAGATTGGAGATAGGCAAATGTTGTCCCCATCTTTTTAAATATAATTTTTATTAACAATTTCTTAGTTTACAAAAACATGTGCATTGTCTCTTTGGGTAGCGGGGGGTGGGGTGGGGAGACCCAGGTACCAACCAGTGGTGAGCTTGACATTGATACCAGGAAAGTTCATAGAACAGATAATGAAACAGTTGGTCTGTGAGCACTTAGAAAAGGATGTTGTGATTACCAAGATCCAACATGGGTTTCTCAAAAACAAGTCATGCCATTTCTTGTTTTGATAGCATTACAAGCTGGGTGGATCAGGGGAATGTTGTGGACATAGTGTATCTTGATTTCAGTTAGGCATTTGACAAAGCCCCTCATGGTATTCTTGTGGAGAAGCTGGTAAAATGTTTATTGGACAAGATAACTGTTAGGTGGATTTGTAGCTGGTTGACAGACTGAAACCAAAGAGTGACCACTAATAGTTCCTTGTCATCCTGGGGAAAAAAGGGACAAATGGGGTGCTATTCAACAGTGGAAGAAACTCCCATGAGAGGTGGTGGACTCTCCTTCCTTAGAGGTTTGATGGTCATGTGTCATGTACGATGTAGCTGAGATTCATGCATTGCAGGGGGTTGGACTAGCTGACCCTCTGGGTCCCTTCCAACTCTAAAATTCTATGATAATATATTGTTATATTGATCAATTATAAAAGATAAGTGCAAGTTAATGGTCTTCAGTCTATCCACTTTGAATGCTGACTCATTTTTTTTAAATACAGTGGTGCCTCGCAAGACGAAATTAATTCGTTCCGCAAGTTTTTCTTCTTGCAAGTTTTTCGTCTTGCGAAGCACGGTTTCCCATAGGAATGCATTGAAAATCAATTAATGCGTTCCTAGGGAAACCGCTTGCCAGGCTGGCGGTGCGGAGAAGGGCTTTTCTCCCCACCGCAAGCCTTCAGCACAGGTACGGGAACAGAGGGGAAGGCGCGCAGCGCTTTCCCTCTGTTCCCGGGGCTTGCGTGGGAGGAGGGTTTTTCCTCCCCACCGCCAACATTCAGAACAGCATTCTGAATGTTGGCGGTGGGAAGGAAAACCCTTCTCCCACCCCAAGTCTTCAGGACAGCCATCCGAAGGCTGGCGCGGGGAGAAGGTCTCTCCGCCCCCCCCCACGCCAGGCTTCGGTGCATCCTTCAGAGGCTGCTGCCATAGTCACGCGTCACTTCTCCACCTGGGAGAGGGTCGCGGGGCTATGGCTTCTTTAGCCCCGCGCGCGCTCTCCCGGCTGGAGAGGTGACGCTCGGCTATGGAGGCTCCTGCCATAGGCGCGCGTCACCTGGGAGAGGGTCGCGGGGGGCTGCTTTAGCCCCGCGCGCGCTCTCCCGGCTGGAGAGGTGACGGGCGCCTATGGAGGCTCCTGCCATAGGCGCGCGTCACTTCTCCAGCCGGGAGAGGGTCGCGGGGGGCTGCTTTAGCCCCGCGCGCGCTCTCCCGGCTGGAGAGGTGACGGGCGCCTATGGAGGTTCCTGCCATAGGCGCGCGTCACCTCTCCAGCCGGGAGAGGGTCGTGGCAGGCTGCTTTAGCTTCTTTAGCTTCGGAGCATCCTTCCGAAGCCTGGCGGCGGGAAGAGGTCTCTCTGCCCCGCCGCCAGGCTTCGGAGGAGGTCTGAGGACAGTGGGGAAGACGCGCTGCGCTTCCCCGCTGTCCCGGAGATTTCCCTATGGGCTTTCGTCTTGCGAAGCAAGCCCATAGGGAAATTCGTTTTGCGAAGCGCCTCCAAAACGGAAAACCCTTTCGTCTAGCGGGTTTTCCGTCTTGCGAGGCGTTCGTCTTGCGGGGTACCACTGTATCTAACATATCATAGAATGGCATTGTTAAATACTGATTTTATTCTGCATTTGTTGGTGTTCAGTCTCTCACACATTTATTGCATGATTGGATAATCTGTATAGATCCTTCTTTGGAGTCCAGTTTGCTTCCATTCTCTTTCAGTTTTTGATGCTGCTGTCGTTCTGTTTTTTGGATCTATAGTATAGCCATTATGATTAAATTTTATTTATCATTACATGTGCAAGTTGAGGAGTGAGTAATGTCTGAAGAAGTCCTAAGTAAGCCCTTACGTCTAAATTTTATTTAGTCAATAATCTGTTGTGGAATAAATGTAATTTGTGAATGCTATTAAAAGAAATACATACCTTACGTTATATCTAACAGTT